GTTTCCATTATCCCTACCACTGCTGCCTTAGGCTTACCCAAAAATGCCTTTCTCTTCTCCCCAAATACGGAGGGCACTTCTCTGATGGTGTTTCCTGCCCTTTTGCTCAGTCACTCTGTGGCAAGCCTTGGCTCGGTTGTTGCCTTGTCTCTAGAACCCATCCCTGTTCCTCTGTCAGATACTGGCTGGCATTCCCTGTGTCCCAGATTCACCGCTGGACTCTCCTTGTCGTCATCACCACAGGGTTGTTATGTTATGTTATGTTATGTATGTTATATTATGTCATATTGCATGTGCACATACATATTTCCTATTTATCTATCTACGTATCTATCACCCCCCCACACACACACACACGCACATCATTTTTACATATATTTCCCCCTCTCCTTTGCTAAATTATAAGTTCCTCGGGGTGTAGGTGTAATTGATCTGTATTTCAACTAAAGTACCAAGATGGTACCTGACACTGAGTAGATATTTGATACATTCTTATAAAAAAAATAAGTACTGAACGAAAGCCTCGAGTTTGAAAGCCATGAAAGTTTTTAAATACCTCCAGGCGTTTAAAATCAATTCAATGTTAACAAAGATAGCAACTGTTTATCCTAGCAATGTTTGCAGAAGAGTGCGGAGGCCAATGAAAATATCTTGCCTGCTGCCTAAGCCTCTTAGTGTATGACAAAGAAAACCAAGGCACAAGGGAACCCAGAGGTCTGCTGGTGGGTTATAACCGTGTGGGATAATGGATCTCAAAATTCAATGAATTTAGGGTCAGTGGGACATGCACTTCAGCACTTGGTCTTAGGCGTTCAATGGTCTCTGAAGCCAGTGGCATAGATAAGCATTTGGGGGCTCTGAGCATTTAGGTCTGAGAGCAGCCCTCTCACCCTCTGCTAGTTATAAATATGCCTTTCCCTTAAATGCTGCCATCGGAGGACTGTCTCTGCCCCTGGAGAGACCAAAAAGAGACAAACAACAGGCTGGTCCTGCCCTGCACACGTCAGAGGTCTTTTGTATTTGCTTCTCACACACCAGCTCACAGATAGTCTCGCTAAGACATACTCTTTATACTTTGGAGGGCCCGATTCGAATGGGGGAGAATGACAAATAGCACCCAAATTCTCTAACACTCAGGAACTACCACCATTAAACCAGTTAGATCGTCAAGCAGGTTGGGACGCTCATTGGCTGGCGGCATCCGAATCTTTTGAGGGCCGCTTGGATAGTAGCTATGGTACCTTTAAGGAACATCAGTGTTCAAAAGAAGTAATCGTTTCCTTTTTTAAAAAAGTCAGAACATGTTAAGTTTAGCTAAGTGTTTCTCCTGTAAAGATCTGTGCATGTTCCATATCCAATCCAGCTCCCCGGGCCTGCCATCTGTTGGCTGGGGGAGGGAGCCCCATCATGTAATACAGCCTCAGCCCAGAGAGGGGGTGCGGCTTAGAGGAAATAGCTTGCACTCTGGAGCCAGATGGCTTTCAGTCTCTGGGCCTTACAGCTTCGTGGCTTTGGGTAAATTACCTAACCTCTCTGAGCCCTGTCTGCTTAAGAGCTAAAGTGAAATAATAGTGCTTACTCTCTTGTAGTACTGTTCTTAGGATTATAGAGTGATGATTCCAGCTACCCAGGTGGATAGCCACCCCCACATTTTAGCAGCTGCTTGACCCTGGACCTTCAGCAAATCTCATTCATCCGCAGTTGTTTCCTCTGGAAAATGGCATAACAGTGGCCCCTTCCTCAATGGGTTGTAGCAAGGATTCAATGAGAGCATGGGGTGAGGCACTTAACACGTAGCGAATGCTCAGGAAATGATAGCCATTTTTCTTAGATAACAGTCGGTGTTCAACAAACGGAAGCCGAGGGGAAGTGAGGACATAGGGTGCTGAGAGGGTCTTACCATGTTGCTGCAGCAGCTGCCTTCAGGCAAAAGCAGTCGTGGGTGAGCACCAAGCTCCTGACTGTCAGGCAGCCCCCAGTCATTCACAAGAACCCCTGGCAACCCCAGAAGCCTGTCTTGTAGCGTCTGGGCATCCACAGGGAAATCAGGAGCTGTTCACTGGCCTTCAGGCAAGGAGCTAACTGTTGAGTTCTTAGTCACCAAGGGAGCAAAAAGTAAGGCTGCCCCCGCCAGCTGCTGCATGGGACCCGCAGCCAGGTTCCCCGTGGGGTGCATAACCCCATTACTAATTCCTTGGGGATTCGGCCTGAAACTTGAACTTCTCCCAGAGGTACCAACACAAAACAGCACCATGCTGGCAGCAGAGCCCCGCAGGGCCCCCGGGGGAGGTGACAGCCCTCACCGGTCTGCCCCCCTCATGTGGGAGAAGGCTCCGAGGATGAGCACATCCTCGTCATGCTGGGCTCTGGGACTAATTTTTGCTTCCCACCTCATCTTGCTGCAAACTCAAAACCTTACTTGGCTCCCTCTCCTACTCGGTTCCCCCACAGAGAAGTTGGCATCTAATTCTCTCTGACGCATCCTTTCCTAGCTTGGCCTAAGTGGGAGGCCAGGATTCCGGAAGCCCAGGAGGCTATTGCTAAGTCATTCATCCTTTCAGGTGACAGATCACAGTCATCTATCTGTGTGGTGTCACCACGGTGAGCACCTCCGGAGTACAGAGCCTGAGATGGGGATGTGTTCTCCGGTGGCCGGTCAGGGGGCCCTGTGACCCCAGACCACTCTTAGAACCCTGAACCCGACTTTCAGGATGCCCCTGGGATCCTGCTGGAAGACTGCCTTGAAGATGGCATTACCTTTTGAGAGTTCTTTTTAGTTCTTCTTTAATTAAACCCCCTTGGACCTGGTCCAAAAATGGCCCTGCCCTGACCAGAACTTGACTCTATAATATAACATGAGATTCCCTGGTGCCTTAGAGCCTTACTTGCCTCCCCATCCCCACTCCATTCAGGCTCTGGTAACCTATTTCCTAGGGTGTCTGTTTCCTCAGGGTTGTGATCAGAGGTGAGAAACACAGTCACCAACCACGTCCAAGGTGAACTGCCTACGGCAGTGCCCACAGACACGCCAGCTTTGGTGTAAAAACAAGAGTAGAAATAAATACAACAGGATCAAGGGGTTGGGTAAGCCCTTGAGGTTGCACTGCTCCGCTCTACGGAGGGTGTAGGACAGCCACATGGATGTGACACATGTCATGGCAGCATCTCATGAGCCTACCATGCCAGGCGCGGAGGCGTTCCTCTGAAACGAACGCCCAGACATCTGGCATGCCCTCCTTAAAGCACAAGGCATCTTTATCTTTGTATCCCCAACACCCAACACACACAGTCAAATTCCAAACGATGCTGAAAGATCTCTCCCCTCTCAGCAGGCTCTCCTTCCCCACCCCCACTCAGATCCATCTCCCGTCTCGCCTCCCCCTCTTTCTGCAGCCCCCTTAGAAAGCTCCCCTTGCCTCCCCACCCCGTAGGCCTTTCGGGCTCCCTCGTCTGTCACCCTCCTCCTGTCTTGCTCACACTATCCCCTCCATGGAGAGACCTAATAGACAGACGGGTACTTATTTAAGACCCTTCTTCCTTTCTGCGATGGAGACTGCTTGTTCTCAAAAGCTGCCCTTTCTCTGTGCTGTTCCTGTGTGGAAGGAACATGTGCTCAGGAGGAGAAAAAAAGGCTCTGGAAGAGGTGATTTCCATAATTATGCTTCCCAAGCCTCTGCCACCATTCAGCTGACAGTCTTCTTTCTCCCCTGCCAAGTGGGCTTGCTCTGGCTCTCTCTCTTGCACCCCCGGCCCTCAACCCTCCTTTTTCAAGCACGCCAGCACTCTTACATTTCACAATAAGTAAATGGTTAAAAAAAAAAAGTCTCCATTTTCTTTCTCACGCAGCAGATGGCAGGTCTCAGGAACTTGGTGGAAATTAGGCTTTCTGATTTTCTAATAAATTTCAGTATCTCACACAAAAAGCACAAGCTCATTCCGATTCTGATGTTAAGTGCCATATGGCATATCACTCGTGGGCTGTGGCAGCTTCGTCCTCAAGGGTAACAAGGAAGGGGTGATCTTTCCTAGAACAACGAGACTGAGCTCGTATGGACCAATTGGATTCCTTGGCGAATACCATTTGATAATAATATTGTATATGGCAGAGAAGCGATTATCTCTCTTGTATGGTATGTGTTAATTTTCACTGCCAGTTTTCCTAATTACAACCGCCACCCAAAGGACTACTTTTTGTAAATACTCTGTAAACATTTGAAAAGACATAGGCAGTGTATGCGTGGAGAAAAACGTCCCTGGATGTTGAAACTGCCTGGAAAGTTGGCTGACGTTTTATATGTTTTTCAATTGCATCGACAGCCCAGTGAGGGACTTCCCTCTCTTCCATGACAAAAGGGGCTCCTACCCTGTCATTGTTGTTCCGGGGGCCACTTCTCACTGCTATTTCTTTTGGTCTTCAGGGTGCAGTTCTGTGAGCTTTGGCAAGTGTCTACACCTGTGTAGTTCACAGAATCCCACCGACATAAAAAGACAAACCTTCTCCAGCATCACATACCTCATACCTTCCCAATCAGCCCCACCACCCGCAATTGCTGTTCTGATGATCCTCATAGATTAGTTTTGCTGGCTCTTGAACTTCAGAACTTCATAGAAATTAAGTCATGCAGCATGTTCCCTTCTGCATCTGGCTTCTTAACTTTTAGCCCATTTGGTGCATTGAAGAAACTCATTCCCCAAGTTAGACGTCTGTCTGTAAATGCATGCTTCTTTACACATCTTCTGTGATACACAATGAGGCCCTGTAAGACACTCTCATCTCTTGTGGTCTACAGTCTGTGACTTATGTGTAATGAGAAGCACAAGTTTTCATTTTGCACATGACAAGGGGGAAGGTGAGATACCATAGGGAGTTTACTAGACCAATCTGTACAGTTTGAGGAAAGAGCTGCAAGAAGCAAAGGAAAGAGGATGTGGGAGGACGATTTTCTCTGATAAAATATCACCATTATCTGGTTTGTGTTTGTTTTTGCATTTCTAGGGGTGTAGCTGCCTTACTTTTGGTGAGCCCAAGAGGGAGAAACTGGCATTAGCTAGTATTCACCCGGCTTGCTAAGAGGCATTGGAGCATAGAAGAGATAAACTTTGATGTGAGTGCATCAGAGAGACCGAGGAGGAATTTCAGTATCAGCCCAAGGTACAGGGTGCTCTCTCGGAGGGGTGAGTTCTGCATTGCTTTCCTTTACTCACACCATGGGTGCCGCGACGTTGGCCTTGATTTCCTCCCAGTGGGACTAATATCTCATTGACAGCCTGAGGTAGAGATTACTTGGCTACAGGTAGGGCTGTGAAACAGAGCCAGATTTCTTTCAGGCCTATTTTCATAGTCGGAATTTTAGCATACGGCAGCTGAATAGGGTACTTAGCAATAAGAATCTTCAGGAAAATATTTCCAGAAGACAGGGTGATGGCTTTTTTTTTTTTTTGGCAGTTTTATTGAGGAATAATTGGCATACATCACAAGAGAAGTTTAAGGTATACAGCGTGATGGGATGATTTATATATCATCTGAAATGATGACCACAACAGGGTCAGCTAACAGCCGCTTCTCATAGAGATACAATAAAAAGAAGAAAATAAAACAGGAAAACAATTTTCTTCTTGTGATGATAACTCACAGGATATACTCCTTGAACAATTTTCCTATATGCTGTCTAGCAGTGTTAGTTACCATCATCATGTTGTAACTTACACCCCTAGTGCTTATTTATCTTATAACTGAAATTTGTACCTTTGGACCACCTTCTTCTTCCAGTTTCACCTCCCTCCATCCTCCACTTTTGGTAATCATTAAGTCTGATCTCTTTTTCTAGGAGGTTTTTTGTTGTTGTTGTTGTTGTTTTTTTTAAGATTTTACATGTATGTGAGATCATACAGTATTTGTCTTTCTTTGTCTGGCTTATTTCACATAGCTTAATGCCATATTAGGACGATCCATGTTTTTGCAAATGTTAGGGTTTCCTTGTTTTTAATGTTTGAGTAATATTCCAGTGTGTGTGTGTGTGTGTATACACAACACAACTTCTTTACCCACTCATCCATTGATGGACACTTAGGTTGTTTCCATGAGTTGGCCATTGTAAATAATGCTGCTATGAACGGCAGGGCTCAGTTATCTTTTCAAGTTATTGTTTTCATATCCATTGGATATATTCCCAGAAATGGAATTGCTGGATGATTTGGTAGTACCATTTTTAATTTTTGAGGATTCTCCATACTGTTTTCCACTGCAGCTGTACAGGTTCCCATTAGCCTCATCCTCACCAGCATTTATCACCTCCTGTCTTTTTGATAATAGCCATTCTAACAGACATGAGGTGCTACCTCACTGTGGTTTTAATTTGCATTTCCCTGTTGCTTAGTGGTGTTCAGCATCTTTCCAGGTACCTGTTGGCCTTTTATACATCTTCTCTGGCAAAGTGTCTCTTCAGATCCTTCGCCCATTTTTTAATTGGATTGTTTGGGTTTTTTCCTATTGAGTTGTATGAATTCTTTATATATTTTGGATATTAACCCTTTATCAGATGTATAGTTTGCAAATTTTTTTTCCCATGCTGCAGGCTGTCTTTTCACTTGGTTGATGACTTCTTTTGCTGTGCTTTTTAGTGTGATGTTGTTTCTCTTGTTCATTTTTTATTTTGTTGTTTGTGTTTAAGGGTTTTAAATGTCACATCTAAAAACATTATCACCAAGACCCATGTCAAGGTGCTTTGTTCCTATGTTTTCTTCTACGAGTTTCATGATTTCAGGTATTACGTATAAGTCTTCAATCCATCTGAGTAAATTTTGTGGGTGGTGTGGAATGTAGATCCATTTTCATCCCTGTACATGTGAATATCCAGTTATCCCAGCACCATTTATAGAAAAGACTGTCTTTTCTCCATTAAGTACTCTTGGCTCCCTTGTCAAATATCAGTTGACTATACATGCTTGGGTTTATTTCTGGGCTCTTGATTCTGTTTCATGGGCTTCTTTGTCTGTTTTTATGCCAATACCATACTGTTTCGATGACTATAGCTTTATAGTAGAGCTTGAAGTCAGGAAATGGGATGCCTCCTGTTCTGCTCATCTTTCTTGGGATTTCTTTAGCAATTTGGGGTTTTTGGTGGTTCCGTGTAAGTTTTAGGAGTGTTTTTCTCCTTTTGTAAAAAATGCCATTGGAATCTTGACAAGGATTTCATTGAATCTGTAGGTGGGTTTTGGTAGTATTCACATTTTAACAGTATTATTTCTTCAAATCCATGAACATAGTCAATCTTTCCATTTATTTGTGTTTTTTTTTATTTCTTTCATCAGTGTCTTGTAGTTTTCAAAGTAGAGATCTTTCATTTCTTTCAATTTATTCCTACATATTTTATTATTTTTGGTGCTATTGTAAATGAAATAAATTTATTTCTTTTTCAGAAAATTTATTGTTAGCATATAGAAATGCTACTGATTTTTGTATGCTAGTTTTATATCCTACAACTTTACTGAATTCATTGATTAAGTCTAATAGATTTTTAGTTGAGTCTTTCGAATTTTCTATATATAAAATATCATCTGCAAATAGACACAATTTTACTTCTGCCTTTTCAATTCGAATCCCTTTTATTTCCTTTTATTCTTTATAATTTCCCTATTATTATTATTATTATTTTATTTACATATTTGTACCTGTCATTTCTTTTTCTTGCCTGGTTGCTATGGCTAGGACTTTCAGTACTATGTTGAAGAAGAGTGTTGAGAGTGGATAGCCTTGTCCTGTTCCTGATATTAAAAGAAGTTTTTAGCATTTAACCATTGGGCATGATGTTAGCTGTGGTCTTTCATATATGCCTTTATTATGTTGAAATATATTCCTTCTGTCCTAATTTGTTAAGAGATTTTATCATGAATGAATGTTGAATTTTTCAAATGCTTCTTCTGTGTCTCTTGAGATGATTATATAATTCTTTTGTTTCAATCTGTTAATTTGATGTGTCATATTGACTTGCATATTTTGAACCATACTTGCATGCCAGGAATCAATCCCTCTTAATCATGGTGTATGATCCTTTTAATGTGCTGCTAAATTCAATTTGCCAATATTTTATTGATAATTTTTACATCTATATATATCAAGGATATTGACCTGTAGTATGTGTGTATGTATGTATGTATGTATGTATTTTTCTGATAGTGTCCTTTCCTGGTTTGGGTATCAGGATGGTGCTGGCCTCATAAAATGAGTTTGAATGTGTTCCCTCCTCTTCAATATGTTAGAAGAGTTTGAAAAATGTTGTTGTTAATTTTTATTTAAATGTTTGGTAGAATTAACCAGTGAAGCCATTGGGCCCTGGGCTTTTCTCCATTAGGAGAATTTTTATTACTGATTTAATCTCCTTACTAGTAATTGGTCTATTCAGATTTTCTATTTCTTCATTTCTTTCTATTCTATTCCTTTCTTTCTTCAGTCTCAGTTAAGTTGTATATTTCTAAGAATTTGTCCATTTCTTCTAGGTTGTCTAGTTTGTTAGTATACAGTTATTTGTGTCATCTCTTATGACCCTTTGAATTTCTGTGGTATTGATTGTAATGTCTCTTGTTTCATTTAGAATTTTGTTGATTTGAGCCCTTTCATTTTTCCCTCTTGGTTAGTCTAGTTAAGGCTTTGTCAATTTTGTTTATCTTTTCAAAGAACCAATTTACAGTTTGGTTAATCTTTCTATTTTGTTTTCCATTTTCTATTTCATTTATTTCTGCTCTACTCTTTATTATTTCCTTTTTTCTGCTAACTTTAAGCTCATTTGTTCTTCTTTTTCTAGATCCTTAAGTCATAGAGTTATGTTGTTTACTGGGGATCTTTCTTGCCTCTTGATGTAGGTATTTATTGCTATGAACTTCCCTCTTAGTACTGCTTTTGCTGCATCCCACAAGAACTTGTATGCTATGCTTCCATTTTCATTTGTCATGGCTTATTTCTAAATATTCACAATAAGTGCTTGTTGACTTCTTGTCATGCAAGCTGTGATAGTAATAGCCTCACTATGTGCTCACTACCAAGCCTCACTATGTGCCCAAGCATGAACTACATGAAATTGCTGTTCCTGTGGCCAAAGACTTGAATACTGGCAATCTCATTTGGTTCCACTTAATATTATTTCATTCTTACCACAATCCTATAAAGTAGGTTGTATTATCATGAACTCCCTTAAAAGTGACAACAATGGGGTACAGAGAAAGTTAAGTAGCTTCCTTGAGGCTCCAAAACTAGTTAATGTCAGAGCTGGTATTCAAACTCAGGCCCAAGTCTCTATAACCTCCAAGAAAATAATTAAAATAGTGGGTAATAATCCCTTTCGGTTTTTATTTATTTATTTTATTTATTATTATTATTTTTTTTTAGATCCTTAAGTCATAGAATTAAAATGGTAGGTAATAATCCCATTCCTTTTTTCAGCAGCTGAGGGCTGTCTTGAAGTCAGGTGGTATCTTCAGAAAAATCTTTTTCCAAGAAAGTCAAACTCTGGCCCATGGGGGCCCCCTTTCTTTCATCTGCTACACTGGTAGATGACATTTTACTTTGGACCTGGAATTTGTGCAGTGTTGTGGGGGAAAAAAACAAAAACAAAAACAAAACAACCTGGAAAATGGGCTCTTGCGTGTAGAACTCTTGGTCTTTCCATTTGGGACCAGAGCCTTCCCCTTAGAACTGAGGAAAACGGCAAGAGCTGAGCCTTTTCCTCAGTGAACCCTGTGCTTTCTGGCAATGGTGCCTGTGCCATTCTAAGAGGGCATGCTTCTTTCTCTTTCTGTTTGAATTTCAAACCTTCAGGGATAGGGAAAGAGGACCAGCAGAATTACTAGGCGTGAAGTGCCACCATGTGGCCAAATGATCACATGCCAACAGCCTGCTGTATCCTTGTTCTGCTGTAGGGAGGCCATGGTATGTGGCTTTGAATGGCCACAAATCCAGATCAATGGAGGAACACAGCTCAGAAGACTGGACTCAGCTCTCAGTCCTCCCTCTGGGACTGGTTCCCAAGGCATGGATTAATGATGAAAATGTCGTTTGTCTTCCCCAAACAGCAGTTCCCCTCAATGTAATACAGAGCTGTGATTTTCAGGGGGTGGAACTCCAGGAACTGCAAAGTGAAGACAAGTTTACCTTTACAAATCACACACAGAAGCCAGGCAAG